CAGTGCAGTTGTACCTCACGTATAGTGTCCTAATGGCCTGCAGGAATGTTCTTTTCTGTCTAAATACCTATAATTATTAGCAGATAGTCCGTGAACACTCGACTGACAGGAGAGTGCAATTATTCGGCTACACTCCGGGTGCATCCCTAACAACTTCCAACAACCAGATGAGAGTCCGTAGTATTGCCCCATTTGACAGACTCAGAATAGCAACAAGGAGAAAAATGCAGCGTAACAAGAGAACCATAATAATCCTCCACCTACTTGTGATTAGCATCAGTATCAGTATGAAGCACTGACGCTTGGCTACCATAACGCTACATCGACCCAGACTGCGACAGTGAGAGCACGAGACGAGCCGCCAACGGAGTACATCTGACTCAATAGATAATAGTCTTGCATAGGAAGTATATAAATAAAGGCTAAAATACGAATCGAAGTAAACCAAATGTGCTCGCATTTAGAGCCTGAAGCAACGAACGTAGATCAGCACTTACTCTCAGTTTGAGTCCCATTCAAATGCGACAGATTTGCGCATTTGACCTGAATCACGGGCAATGCTGATCTTCAGCAAAGCAAATATTCCCATTTCATTAATGTGAATCAATATCAGAAATAAGTTAAGGGTAAAGAATTATTTTCGGTAAAGTCTTATTAGTCCCAAACGTTTACATAGCATTGATTTTGGGTAAAGCGTCAACTCGGGCTGGGATTGGCTTCTGGGATGTTTGAACGACGACTTATACCATTTAGGGGCGATTCCGCAGCTGATATGTTATCCCGACGCGTGAAAGATGCTGTTGAGAAAACTTATTTCGAGGCCTACCTGAGAAGTGTTTATCGCAACAAGAAAGTTGCTTACAAAAACCTTGAAGGATAGACTGCCGTCGTTGACCCTTTCAATGATCGTTTATCAGTACTCGGGCTCCTATGGTGTATGATACATGGATCGCACGACGAGGCGCCCATCTCAGAGGATTCGTGAGCACATCCCGGCATGGTTTTACAAAAGCGAAATGAGTTCTGCAGACAGCTCTATCATGTCGCACCTCCTTGAATGTGAGCATACAGCTCCAGAGAATGACTTCAAAGTCATCTACTCACTACCTGAACACTTCTCCCAAGGATTCCGCAAACAGCTCTTATCCATCGCCGAGGCTATATAAACCCACCATCTGAAGTCGGAAGTATGTGTAAAAAAACGACGCATACGGCCAAAACAACTACCTTCGTCAACTGACACTGTCACTTAATTACTTGGTTGTTACGTTATCTACTTAATTACTTCGGACTACTGAGCTTTGTGTATGCCTGTTTATTTAGTTCACTTGGCTTACCCTCTATATGTCTCTCTCAAGTTACCGATTTTGATCATTCAAACAGTGCAGAAGTCAATCCCAGCCCGATTTGACGCATTCCCCACAATCAGTTTTAGCTAAACGTTTGGGTCTTATGAGAATAGAATTCTTTAGCTTGATTGAATTTCTAATATTGATTCATATTATAGAAATTTGGATATTTGGTTTGATGAAATCCAGCATTGCCCGTAATGCATTACACTCTCGGTGATAGCCAAGATTTACAAAGTCTGTGTACACGCAACATTGCTGTACGGATACAAATCCTGGCCAATCTGTGTCGAAGAGTTGGCTAGTCTTTAGGGCTTCGATAGTAGCTATTTTCGGAGGATTGCCCCCGTGTTTTGGCAACACCGATTACGCAATGATGACGTTAGACCCCGCGTTTTGGATAAGGCGGATGTTCCGCTACGTGATGTTGCCCGGCTGCGTCAGTTGAGACGATTTAGTCACATCCTGCGCATGGCTAAGGAGCGTTTACCACGCCGCCCCCTGTTTGTGCTCGCAGGGTTAGTTTGGAAAAGGCCGCGTGGAGGTCAACGGTCCATCTAGCAACAAGGCTTGAAATCGATGACATTTTGTCTGGCCATTGCTGGCCCCGTACGACTTTCCGGCTGGGGACCCAAAGATGAATAATGTCAATGGTTCACAACGCTGGAAGCATTGGCGCAAAACCGGTCGCAGTAGAAGCAGCGTGCACACCTCTGCCCGAACTCACGTTTACCAAGACATTTACTCTTAAAAACACAAAAAGGTACAAAATGACGTGTGAAAATAACAAAACGATTTTTTCATGCACCATCAAATTGTTTTACATGGTTTGCACATTTTATTATTCTCCATCGCAAATTCCATGGTTTCAAGGGGGATTAGCGGCTGGCTTGCCGAACAACCAAACTTGAGCAACGAAATCTGTCAAGGGTTTGGGCAACGGCTGAAGTCAGTCGGATTGTTCAATGGACCCTACCGGCGGCTACGTAGAGGTCTTATAGTAGTTTATTAAATACTGAGCGACCCCATACGGGATGACGCCACCTACTGAAACGCAGCCCGAACACCAACCTCAGAACCAATGGCCTGAAACTGCGTAAAGAATACAGTCGTCTAGATTGTCGAGGAAATTACTTCTCCCTCCGGGTCTGGCAACCTTGGAACACCCTTCCGAACACAGTTGTCAGTGCCCTCATATTAGCTGTTTTCAAAAAAGATTGAACGTCGAATTGAACGCTCTACCCTTTGTTACTTGAACGCATAGTCGGGATTTAGTCTGGCTAACTACGCACTTTGGAACAATGAACAATGATAAATCAGGGGTAAAAAGCATGTGCTTGGCAAGTCCCGTAGAATGGTTGGAGTAAAAAATAAAATTGAAAGGATCATCGAATAAGTAAATCGTTATTTTAACGTCTACCGATTTAAATGCACTAGTGCATAACGATAGTTTGAAGTGGGAATGGGATGTGCACACGCAAAATAGTATAAAGTGCCGTTATAGTTCAGTAAATACTGAATACTGTATTTTAGAGCAAGTAGAAATGAATTCTGTGCAACTCTTTCGAAATATGGTGAAAAATGTTATGAAAATTGTCAGCCGTGAATATCGTTATCGTTATCATGTAACATCTAAACTATCTCACTCACGGCATTGCAGGACTCACAAATGTGACATGTTATCGTAAGTGTGCAATCGTTCTCTGAATCGAATAGTGGTAAAATATAAATCTAATAACTTTTTGAAATGCTGCACAGATGTTGCCTCCAGTAAATGTTCAGACAAACTGTTCCAAAGCACAGTGTGTGAGGAACTCACTTCACATCCGGCATGACAAGTTTCTAGCTGTGTCCGCGTGTGCTGCATGGCCCTCGTACATGCACCATTGGCCTCAGCACGGGGAAGTCACCGAGATGTAGCATACGGTAGGTCATAATGAGATCGACTCGCGCCCGACGGTAAGACAAGGTGTAGAGTCCTAGTTTCTCGCACCGGTCTTCATACACCAAGCCACGTAAACTCGGAATGAGCCTCGTAGCAATGTGTTGGACCCGTTCGATCTTTTGTGCCTTGCCTCGGGTAATCGGAAAGTAGGCGGGCGAACCGTACTCTAGCATTGGTCTAATGATGGAAGTGAAGAGGCGTGTGGCAGCCGCTTCAGATCATGTGCCGAAGCTATGTTTGAGCGCACAAAGCATGCGTAGTCAGTTACGATATAGCCTGTCCGTGTTGTACACGGACTACAAATCGCAGCGCGAGTACACCTAGGATAAGAAACCGGTCATGGGTATAAGTCATGTCAGCACAGCACAGGTTTATGCTAGGCTGCTCACGCATTAACAACTTGCTCGTGAAGACGCATGAATGGTTGCAGGCAATGAACCAAGATAAGTCCGTCGACGTGAACTACATAGACTTCAGTAAGGCGTTCGACAAGGTGATGTATGAGCTGCTTTTCTACAAACTGAGTGTGCGGTGTTGATGGATCCGCGAGTTGATCGTCGGACGAAAGTGGCGGATTCAAGTAGACTGGTATCTATCTGACTGGTATCACTCTACTAGTGGCATGCCAAAAAGCACAGCAGTCGGACCCACTCTATACATAATTCATATCAACGATCCACCACAGTTTCTGTGGCCGCCGTTTGACCTGTTCGCGTACTGCTGCTGCCTACAGTAGTAAGACCTCAACCACTTATTCACGTGGTCTGTGCCGCCTCCTGGTCAACCCAAGCAAGCCGGTATTCATGAGTCTGAGGAAGAGTGGTGGGTGCCGAACTTACATTCTCGACGGTCAACCGCTACATCCCACGGCTTCCGTGAAGGACCTAGGTGTGTTTTCGCACTGCGGATTGAAGTCCGTGGGCAAAACTAACAGGGTATATCATAACGGACTGCGCCTGCTTTGGGTGTTTAAACGCAGCTTCTGTAGTTGATTTGAAAAGGCTGCCAGTCGACTCTTCGCTTCCGCCATAAGACATGCCAGAGTACGGCTCACCAGCCTTCAGTCTGTTCACCCGAGCCGAGGCACAGAAGATCTAATGGATCGAGAAGGTCGCTACTAAGCTCAAATAGAGTTGAAAGAGGATTGCTGTATGAGTAACGGTGCGAGAGACAATGTCTTATCATCGTGTGCGAGTCGACCACATCGCGACCTACCTCAACTACACAGTGACTTCTCCATGTTGAGGCCGCTATTTCATTTGCGAACGCCATACAGCATACGCGGACACCGATATAAGGTTGTCGTGTTGAATATGAAGCGAGTACCCCACCGCCTGTGCTTCGAAAAGAGAGTGGCAAGTGTTTGTACTAGTCTGACGGGACAATTCCTAGACGCCAAACCTGTGCAGCAGTACAAGACGCTGTTAACTTTATATTTCACCACTGTTCGATCCAAGTAATGATTGCATACGGACAGTGACATCTCACATTTGTGAGTCCAATGATACCGTAAGCAAAACATAAGAAAGCGAAGAACGATTAGAGTATCGATAGATGGCAGATACATCTTTATGACATTTTCGATTGTATTCCGAGGGAGTGTTACACAGATTTAAGTTTTAATTTGCTTCCGTAATAGAGTAAACGATGTAAGTAAATGCACAAAAAATAAAAAGGGAACAAAGACATGTGCAAGTAACACGTACTTGGAGTATACCGTAAGCAGCACGGTGGAATGAAACGAATCCAACTCGGGGATTAGCGAACAAATACGGAAGATGGCGAAGAAAATCCGGACAGCTGTGTCACTTTCCTCGGTCAGATCATGGAACGCATGCAACTGAGGGGCAGTCAAGATATCCACACTCAATTTAGCATCCCAAGATGTAAGCAACTGACGTAAAAAGAGAAATGGAAAATGAAAAGAACGTGAACTAAAGAAGATGCAACAGGAAAGCACTGCGACAACCCACCAACAAGGTGAAATGTGTAGACACCCGAAATCACAACACCGAGTAGGAAAGAGAGACACTGCGTACTACAACACAAAAAGCACAAACTACGAAGATGGTACGAATTCCGTGAGAGAAGACACAAAAACACACACATCCTACGGTTTTAGCTAGAAATAGAAAAGATAGACTGTCGGTTGGTCCCGAACGTGTATTGGGTACCAACAATTTGCTAGCTGTATCGGCGATAAATAGGCCATTTTCTGGCCGTAGCGAATAATGTGGAATAAATTGTGTTGGGTTGGGCAGGTACTGTGTATACCCAGTCACCGCTTAGCAAAGAGAGCGAAATTTTAATTGTCAGATGTTGGATGGCGCAAGGCTTGCAAAGGGGCAAAAGTTGACATAGTAGCGCGAATTGAAGTCATTGACGACTAGACTCCGCGCTGTTGGCCCGTCTCACCTTCCAGGCTTGAGTCCATGTGGTCTTGTGCTCGGGTCGAGAAGTTATAGGATGTGACGCACAATTGGTACCAGCTATCCTCTCCTAGTAAGATTTTGGTTGAGATTTTCATCCCAATAGTTCACAAACTACATAGAACAGCGCAGTCCGGAAAACCACCAGACGCGTCTCGCCCTATTGGGGCCCGTCAGTTGTGAGCATTCCCTCGTCCCCTACTACGGATCGAACCCATGACCGCTAGAGGCAGATGCCAACTAGCCAGCAGCTTAAGCCACTGAGTCATGGAGGACGTTAGTTGGGCTACATAATTTTACTCTAACTGGGTTATAGCACGACCTGTCTTTCACTGTCACTGCCAATGTCTAGCCTGCGAGGCGATGACGTCTTCTCGCTAAACGCTATATCCATAGCATTTGAAACTAGGAGGCCAATGATTTTATATTACTTGTGAGTAGCAGGATTGAGTTGTAATTTCGTTGGGATTTTCTCAGTAAGGTTGTCATACGCAGTTATCTGTGGAGTAGTGGCTCATAATGACGTGGGAAATGAAAGCCACAAGAAAGTTGTCTCGCTGATGCCACCTTATTGTCTCAGTGTAGCAAGCGGTTTGCAACCGTGTGCTGTTGGCAAGGTGTGGATACATCGATTCGGAGACATCGATCCAGGTTTCTACACTGAATACATCTTTCTAGTGATTCATCTTATCAACGTCAACATGGTGCGGCAGAGAAGCATTGGTACAGACGGCTGATGTACTGTTGTTGATAGTGATGATGACAATCGGTTAGGAGACAAGATTTCCATTCCAGAGAAAGTGGAAGATAAAACGGGATGATTGGGGATTAGTCCGGTTCCAAAGTTATGAAATGGAGAGATAGAACAACTCTTGAGGGCCACGTGACGCGGCAAACCCAGAGGCTAGCCTGCAGGTCACTAGACCATTATTAGAGTTCCAGTATGAAAAAATAGGAATAAAAAAGTCCTTCGGTACGCCCTTGAAACAAACTTATTGCAAAAAGCAGACGATGTCAACCGAAGCAAAGGAATTTTTTGGGTCAAGGAAAACCAGCAGTATGGGTCGCTTGTATGTAAGAGGTTGCATACTGACTTCGCGGGGTGTGAACATCGGACAGCGAGTTAATTTGGGGCGGTAAAAGCTGATCTAGCTTCCACAGATTAGGGTCATACAATAATCTGTGAGGAATTGAAATATGGCACAGTGGTGCCAGTTACATCGTCCCATTTGGCACACATAATACACAGTGATTAGAAGGGTAGTGGATCCTTTTGCTTTGACTAACGTCACCAAAAGAATAGTGAAAAAGGATGTAAGGACAAAAAGGAAGGGAGAAGAAAAAAATGCAAAATAGTTGAGTCAGCAGAGGAAGTTGATGGTATCTTGTAGAAGTTCGAGGCAACGGATTCAAGCAAAAAGCAGCAGCATATCCACAAAAGCATTGGACGGCCGTTTACGTCCCAGCAGCAGTGTGTGTATGTGTGGGGGGAGGACAGATATGCCTTTCGCACATGTGTGTGGTTGTGGGTGCAGATAGTGTAGGACTGAAGGAGAGTTAGTAATGCCGACTGGCAGCATTTTCCGATATGTGGCGGTTTCCTAACTGAAACCGGCTGCGAAGCAAGTTCACAAGAAGGCTGAAGTTGTTATTAGGAGCTAGAAGCAATGAAGCGCTGTGACCATCGAAATGACTGAGCAAGAGGGCTCAAGGATGAGGACGCGCATCAACCTGATCCGGTGTGACTGTGCTTACAGCCAAATTATAGGCTGATCATTCCGCGATGTAACTCGTCCTTAGATAAGCTTTTACGAAGACGTTAGTACGGTTGAAACTGGAGCCGATAGCCAGCAATACAAGCGTAAATGAAGTGTGGCAAGATAGCAAACCTTGGTGAGTCCACCTACGCACCAATAGTTAAAACAAGGAGGAAACTGATCGCAGTGCTGCTGGAAAGTAACATCTCAAATGTTTCCGCTTCTGTTGTTTGAGATGGCGGAGATGTGAACTAAAGTAAGTTAACACTGGACGGTCAAATGCATACGGTTCAGAGTGGGATTATGACGCGCGAAGGGAACACGCGCTGTGGTTGGACACGACAAGTAGAACAACGGGCAATCGCCGGCGCGCGCATGCAGCAACATAGCTGTACGGGGAAGCAGGACACTTACACTCAACAACCGAATGGGGTCGAAATGAGCGCCATGCTCAAACAACTCCCATTCGATTTCCAGCTCGGTTTGCTGGCCCCGTTCTCGACTGAAAGTGGTGGACATGCATGTGAAGTATGAACAGATAGATACAGCGTGTTACTGATTGGAACAATGGACGTCACTAGAAAGTTATGACAGTTTACTTCATAGCGTGCAGAGTACTGTGTGAATATGGGCATACAAGATGGATCGCCTAAAATAAACCGGGTGAAGAGGCAGTGGATGCGCCCAGACATATGTGCAGATAATTCTGTTAGTGTCACTGATGTTGCTATTGTTATCTACGACGATCACTCCTGATCCACTATCGTTTCACCACAACAGCATGTTTGACGCGCAGTTCGCGTGGTGCTCGCAGATGCCTGTAGGCAAACACGCACTTTTCTTTTATTGGCACACTTTTCACTTCATACGCAACGTTTGTTATCTTGTTTCTAAGCCATATAACCGTATCATCAGTAGTTGGTCGAAGTTGTCCAAACAGATCAAAAAAATGTTCAAAGTGAGTCGCAATAAATAACCCATTCAATCGTGTAAGAGGCACGCAATAATCTAACCAGACGACACAAACCGATGTGGAAGCTAGATCCGGAATGAATAGTATTACCGTTTGCTTGTAGACCCACGCTATGCTTTCGGGGTACTCCAAAGAAGAAGGTAGTATGTGGAAATGATCTTGTGGGATGAAAAATGAGCAACGCAGTAGTCCAGGCCTCACAGTAGGACAACAAATATATCCAAGACAATTGACTGGTACTCCTCCCAATACAGTAAGGTATAACCACAGGCAGGAGAAGCTGCCATCTACAGACAAGTAAAAGATCCATCACTTTAGAACGCAAGGGGTAAGTTTTGGATTTCCCGATGGAAGACTGAAAGTTATGTCTTCGGAATAACTCCAGGTGGATAATATGTGCAAATATCCGCGTGACAGTGGGGGAGAGCCGAACGCAGTAGTTGGATTGCTCGCTGAGCCTGACTATTTGACTGCACGATTGGTCCCCAGTCGAGGTAACATCATCCGTGCAGGAGGGGCAGAGGTTTGGTAGCAGGCACTGGTAGCAGGCAAATCCGGAGATGGATGTTGGCAGGTACTACTCTGTTCTTTAGGTAGACTTCAATTGTTTGTATTTTCGCTTCATTCCGATTGGTTAGTCATGGTATCATGCGTTCATAGTTAGGCACTTACCATTGGTCAGAAAAATGATACTCAAGCCAAGTCAAAATAAGCTTTATGTACCCTAATGGGTTCATTTTCAGCATTTACACCACCACTGCGGACACCTGGATGAGAATGTCAATTTAGATGCTTGGGTAGCAAAGTGGGAGAAGAGCAGAACTCCAACGAGCGCTCGCGCAACATGTTTGTGACTTTTGCGGTGTCAATAAGCAATCGTGAGAGATAAGACAAAACAGTATTAGGATATGATGACGTGCGGGAGGATAAAATTATGCATTTCGAACGAGTAGAAAAGAAAGAGAGCGTTTTGGAGAGATCATCGTGGACTGGATGAAATCGAGCAGTTGGTACCTTAGAAGAAAAATCATTGCAAGCATCAAGATGTCTAGAAATGATCAAAGCAACTAAAGAATCTCTAGACAAGCCGCTGCATCTAGAAATGTGCTTTACAGATCGCACCAATAAGATGTAGTCTTTCTGAAGCAGTCCAGGGAAAATGACAGGAGAGCAGTATAGCCAATGGGGAATAATGCAGGTCACAAACGTGAATATTAAAGTGCGAGTTATTGAAAGCACCTTAAGTCTGAGGGCATAAAAAGAAAGGTTTCTGACTTTTTGAAAAGTTTTACAGACATGCGTGGACCAAGAAAGGTTCTGGGACAAAATGATGCCAAGATGACTGTGAAAGAGCTGGGTATGGGATTTTCATTCATAGTAAGTGTGGGGGAGAAAGCTATGAGGGACTGCAACTTATCGCCACGTAGAAAATCAAATGTTACGTCCCTGCATTTAGAAGCACTACGCGTAAGCGATGTGGACGAAGACCATTCCAGCAGACCTTCCAACCCACGTTGAAAAGATGCGGAATACTGGTTAGTGGGGGACATATATCCCAGCACAACATCATCATCATCATCATCATCATATGTACACCCTATAAACGTGGCTTGTATAGGGAGATGTTCAACATACAAGGAGAATAGAAAAGGTGATAGGATCGCTCCCTGCGGTTCACCACAGCCAGCACAGAGGACAAAGGATTTCTTACCGTTCAACGTGGCGAAGTGAGTACGATCCGTAAGATAGTCACGGAACAGATTACAAACACCAGGGTGAACTCCATTTTCGGATAGCAAGTTTAGTAACTTTGACCTATGCAGGCTTCCAAAGGCATTCGAATAATCCAGGAAGAGAAACCGTACTGATTTACACTTTTGATCTAATGCAGGGGCTATAGAATGTATGAGATATACCTCTGCATCCAATGTGGAGCGCAAATTAGTAGCTATCATCCTCAGGAGTGGCTGTGCATATGCGCGGAATTAACAGTCTTACGAAAACTTTTAGAGGCACAGATGTACATGCAATAGGGTGATACTTCCGAGATCCATTTTTTGATACTGGAGTAATACTGGTCGTTCTCCAAATGTCCGGGATGGCACCCGTAGTGAGGCATTTGTTAAAGAAATCGGTTCAAGGCAGTGAGCGAAAATTAGCACACTCTTTCAAAGCTAATTTTGAGAGAGCATCCGGACCATAAGTTTTGTTTGCCATTAATCTCTTGAGTTCCCTGTGGACGTTGCTTTGATCGAAGGGCACGGCTGAATTTGAGCTAATGAAGGAGGGCAAGAAAGATGAGCTTAGTGAGGCGGAACTAAACTCCGAATTCAGTTTATCCACATCCACTTCACCTCTCTGGCTGCAAACGCCCTTATCACAGAGCTGCCTCAGAAGCCTACATAGATCGCGACAGTTATGGTTGTCTAGAAGCGCTTCGACGTATAAGTGGTTTAGCCTTTTTATCTCGGATGTAACTGCTGTGGTTAGGCTTTGGACACGGGCAGCGATATGGCTGGGATTATCTCGAAGTCATGTAAAATGCCCATTTGTTATGTCAAGTTTCGAAAGATAAACAAAACACGAAGCTTTGCATCGAAACGCGAGATTACCCAAAATCCTTCTGGAAAGCGCTGCGGAGACAGCACATCCGACCCAGTGCAGCTACTTTGAAACGGCACGCCCTCAACCTGATTGAATCAGATAAAACGAGACTAGAGGAAACTAAACGACTTGTTGCCCAAACAGAAGCCGCGCTGGATAACCTCCGCGATGAAGAACGTATCCGTTTTCTTACTTATGTGAGAGGCGTAACATCTAAACAGGTAGACAAGAAACGATGCAAAATGCAGAAAAACTTAAGCGAAACAAAGGGTCAAACCAGATTTCCATCAGTTCCAGAACAATACGTGCACAACCTTTCTAGTGTTCATTTAGACAGACTGCAGCTGCAAGCACTTTCACTTGGTCTAAAATTTAGCCATCCGCAAAACAAATACAATCGTGTGGAAATAGAAACACAGTTTGAACACCTATTCAAGCAGACGAACGACTTGGTGGCCAACTCTGATATGGAACTTGAACAGTTCAAATCAACTTTGGTCAACGTTTCTTTTCAATACCAAAGACAACCAATAGAACACCATCGACTACTGACAAAAGCGCACCTTGATGCTTTGAGAGAACTTCAGAAAAACGAAGATCTCATCATAACCAAACCAGACAAAGGATCTGGGACTGTGCTGATGGATCGTGCAGATTACATCAAGAAAATGAAAATGATACTCTCGGACACTTCACGTTTCGTGAGATGTGAACAACAGAAAGATAAAACAGAATGTGTAGAAAATCAATTGATCAAGTGTTTGAAATCACTAGTGAACGACGGCACCATCACCAAAGAAACGTACGACCGACTTCGTCCCATAGGCTCCACTACTCCTCGCCTTTATGGTCTCCCAAAAATACATAAACCTGACACACCATTGAGACCCATACTAGATATGAGGAATTCACCGTACCACAACATTGCGCAGTGGCTGACAAAAATGCTGAATCCCATCAGACAAATGATTGCTCCTCACAGACTGGCAGATACATTCCAGTTCATCAACGAAATTAGAGATATGAATGTCCAAGAACATCGGATGTTTTCCTTAGATGTTGTTTCATTGTTTACCAACGTGCCTCTGATAGAAACAGTTAACTACCTGTGCTCATACATTGACCAGCATGGTATAAATATCGGTATACGAAGCAACCAACTGAAACAACTGATACTCAGATGTACGTACAACGTTCAATTTCAATTCAATAGTGAGTTTTATAGACAGGTTGATGGCGTTGCAATGGGCTCCCCGCTTGGTCCATTGTTAGCGGATATTTATATGGGAATGCTAGAAAACGGTCCATTAAAACAGGTCATATCCGGACTGAAATTCTATCGGCGCTATGTGGATGATATAATTTGTATAAGCGATCGGACCACCAAACCCCAAGATACAATCGACTGTTTCAACAATGCGCACCCCAATACCGCATTTACAGCTGAAGAAGAAAACAACAACCAAATGAACTTTTTGGACGCAAGTCTTATCAGAAGAACCGATGGATCAATCCAAAGGAAAGTATACAGGAAGCCATACTGGACTGGACAATACATGAACTTTCATAGTTTCGCCCCACTCAGCCAAAAAAGAACGCTGGTACGAACGCTAACCGATCGGGCATATAAAATCTGCAGCGAAGATACCATAAAAGCCGAACTCGCACGAATCAAAGAGGCGCTTCTCGAAAATGGATATCCGGAGCGATTTATCGAGACCCATATGAAGCGATGCATACCAAAAGCATCAAAACAAACCGTTGAAAAGAAACAGCTTTACTTGACACTTCCATTCAAAGGAAATAGTGCGGCTGAAACATACACACGCCGACTACAGCAAAGTTGCAAAAAGACCTTTAATGCGGCTCAACTGAATGTGATTTACACGAGCAGACCTTTACTAGTTCCGAGATTCAAAGACCGAGTGCCTGATCATCTCCAATCGATGTTAATCTACCGGTTCACCTGCCCGTGCGGGGCCAGGTACGTTGGACGGACGACCAGGCATCTAGGTAAGAGAATTAAGGAACACCTACCAGGTTGGCTCTACACGCGCGAGAATAGAACAAACTACAGTGCGATTACAAACCATCTAATAAACACAGGTCACCAGATAGACAAACGAACAGCCTTTCAAATTCTCTACAAAATACCATCAAGACAAAATCATCGTCTAAGAGCAAGCATACTCGCCACCGCTGAGGCAATATGCATACGTCTCACAAATCCGAACTTGTGTGTTCAGAAGAAACTTATACAAACACTACAACTTCCCTGGCCGACCACCAGCCGTGAAGGAAGTAATGGTACTCCGCAAATTCACCTGACCTCAGTCACGTGATCAGATGAAGGCCATCACGATCACAAGTTGTCTGATCAATTGTTTCTTTGTTACACCAACGATTACAGCAGACGTTAACATAATGTATATTACTGTATGAGCCTGATGAAGAAGTAATCGAAAACAATTGTTTGCTCAAAGCTTCGTGTTTTGTATATCTCGAAGTCATTGGTGTAAAAATAGCATTCTGAGGTAACGTCGGCTGTTCTGTACATTTCGGGAAGCGGATTGTTTTCTTTCGAACTGCGGTTTCCATTTCTAGCGGAATCCAGCTATTCAGGCCACACAGGAGAATGACATATAGATCCAATTCAGCGAATATGTATGTGCCAGAAACGGTAAGTTGTAACATCAGCAGAATATTCTGCTATCCATAGCCAGCTATAAGATCAGTGTGGTTTATTGGCGAGTGATGAGGCTGCATAAACCGGTGCCATAAGGCGAGCCTCTGGGGACCAGTCAACATGCATTGGATGACCTTGGAAAGACGGACAACTACTCCTGATGCGTTCTAACCAAGAAAGTTGCGTTTCCATTATAAAACAACTTTGTCGTGACTATAGAAAGAAACCTCCTGAGTTTGCCTTGATGAGTGCGATGGGCGCTAGAGTTGTCGTTCTCCCTCTTTCCATCTTTCTTTTCACCCGGGCAATCCTGCTGTACAACTGCATCTACGAAGCTGAGCTGTGGAGAAACGGTGCAATCCAAGTCCACCGCACTACGCTCCATACCAAGTTCCCCTACTGGTTGTGCTCGGCCGTTATGCGTAGTCAATACCTTCCTCCTCGCAATCACACGGATGCACTGCTGAGATCAAATTGTAACAATTTGTTCATGAAGGAAAGTGCATAGCTAGTGAAAATGAGAATAATCATTGTTAGCGCTTTTATTATCATTATTATTAGTAGTAATATTATTATTAAAGGATGACCGGAGAGCATATGGCCACTGTCTCATCCTAATATCGTGTTTTGAATAATTCTGCGGTAGCCAACTGCAATTCCCAACTACATCGAGTACAAACGACAAATAAAGCTTCGTGTTTTGCATTCCATAGCACAGGGGTCAGTTGGGAGATTCAATTAGTGACCTGTATAGTGGTACACATTGAAAATTAGTTTCATTTCGAATGGAGAGTATAACGCGTGGTCATCAAGCGTGTAGGCAGGCAAATAAAGGTTGTTAAAAGCGAACATGAACTCAAGACACTGAGAGGTCCCTGCATACGACAAGGCAGAAATATATCGCATTCGATGCTGTGTAACGGTTTGAGCCAAGTGCGCTTACACGAGAGATATCGGTACGTCTGTGAACAAGCTGGGTCGAGCAAAGCAAAGCCAGTTGGAGGAAGCATAAGCAAATGGTCTTCCATCTTTGACCAGGTTCTCGTAAAATCCATCACCATGAACTCTAAACAGTAAGCATAAAAAGAGAGTGAGAGATACACACGGATAATGTGGAGTTAAAGCGGTGACGAAGAGCAAAGATTTGATGCTATAAATGTACAAGAAATGCGTACCTACTGTGCCAGGCAATGTAGTGTGAGTGATAACGGTCGAAGTGGTGCTCATATATGATGCAACACAAGAGGGGATCAAACGTGTTCCGTTGTATAATGGGGCAAGCTGAAAATCCAAAGCGAGATCAGAAATGCGGAAGGGCGCTGGGATCAGGATGAAACGCATAGCGGTAATGTGTCGACTAATAATGTAAACAAGCAATCATGAACACGTGAGCTGGATTGCCTACAAATGATCGATCCAAGTGGGCATGGAGAATGCGCAACTACAGCCTGGCTCTTACAGTCACACAGGCCGAAGAGAGTCCGGTCGATGGAAATTGTTTTACGGAGAGTTGTTGGTGAATGAAACGAAGAACCAATCACAAAACGCATCAACAATAAAAGATCGCAACCGGCTATATACGCCATAAATAACAGTTCGTTTTCGTTGGTTTGTGCTGGGGCAACTGTTGTGTGGTTGGATTGCGATAAGCAGTATCAATCGGGAGAGTGATTCCCTTTGTGATGAACGTCGGTCGGTTCAACAGCCGGACTGTTTCCGAGACAGATAAAAGCTGCTTGTAAGCAACATGGGTAAATTGATTCGCAAAAGCGCAAAGGTTAACCCACTTTCCGTTGGTATCCATTGTAAGGAAAGTAAACAAGTAATTTAAGGCGTTGAATTACTCTACTAGTTGTAATTTCTCTGGCTGCAATGTTAGATAACACATTACCCAACATTATTTTGAAAAATACTATTTCCGTTTTTGTAGGATTACGAAAAGCGGATAAAAGAGGAAGTTTAAAAGGGTTAGTGTATTTTAAGTATTTATTCATTGAAAAATAATAAAAGTTTGCCATTTTGTGTAAATTTATATGTCTAGAGCACATTTTCACGTATAATACTTAAAAAGGTGTGATAGTTACTGCACTCATGAACTGCAAGCACTTGTCCATCTCAAGGGCTCCAGCAACAAACGATACCATTGACATGTAGCTTGGGATAACTAAATTGTTGGTAATATAATTAAAATATGCCAGCAATTTGTAAATATTCAGATATATTGAGATTATACTATTGTAGTGTGAAAGATTTGGAATTTTAATAATAAGCTTTTTCCTTTTTAATGACATTTTCTTTGTTAAAATGTAGGTAGACTATATTTCGATTTGATAAAGTTTTTCTTCAACACGGATTGTAAAATGTATTTCGTATAAGATGCTATCGTCATGATAGAAGTAGTTGACGGTGTGCTGGAAGGCAACAATTACATTACGCCTCCGGGTGATGGACAAAACTCTGATGGAAATGCTATCAATGAAGTGATTAGGTATGCAGGATCACTTGAAGATCTGTCAGCGAGACAATTACTCAGTGGCGCTGTGGCTAGCTTAACAGTGTCTCATGGATCAGTAAGTACAGTCAATATGAAGGGCGAACCATCCGAAAAGGAACCAGAAAGTAAAAATAAAAGTTTCCAAGAGGAAGTTGCTGCCTGTTTTTCCAATAAAAACACAAAAAGATACCAGATCTAGACTATGGAGGAAACAAGACTTATGTTAGGGACCCCAGACTCAGATGCAATGGTCTGAATGTGCACCTTAGGCAGGGATCTTACACAGCATACACCATGTGAACGCTTATTGGATAACTCTGTTATTGAACACATGATAAGGCAAACAAGTAAGTACGGCCGTTCGATAAGTGACCACTCATTCAGCATAACCACAGCTGAAATGCATGCTTTTCTCGCTATTCTGTTTATCTCTGGGTTTAATTCATTACCACAAGACATTCGCATCCTGAACAAGATGATCACAATGTAGCCATCAGTCAAACAATGCATCGTAACAGATTTGACACAACCATGAAGTAGCTCCAATTGACGAACGAAAACAATCTCGAAGGAGATGAGAAGTTTGCAAAAGTGCGACCACTTCATAACCTTCTCAATGAAAGAGTTATGCAATTCTTCCACATGGAAGAAAATCTGTGTGCATGGATGAAAGTATGAGACCATAGTACAGCCGTCATTGACTGAAGCAATGCATCAAAGGAAAGCGCATTTTAGATTCGGGTATAAACAATGTGCCATTGCGACACTTCTAGGCTATGCCGCCTATCTGGATCTCTACCAAGGAGCTCAGGCCACATTTGACAAGACATTAGGTTTGGGATATTACGTTGTTATGGACCTAGTGGACAAGCTAAGGAAGGAGCGGCCCTACTACATTTATTTGGACAGTATTTTACAGGCTTGCCGCTTATGAAAGCCTTAGCCAACAAAAGCATAAGAGCAACGGGGACAGTTGAAAAATGAACGATGAATTTATACGGGTTAAGAAGCGTTGCTTTACAAGTCCCGTTTGATAGTTTCAGGGGATATCAACATAACAATAATGATGATAAGGATAGTAAAATAGTTAATACTTTAAATATGAAAATAAGGACTTATCGTTTGCTTCGCTGCAGTCCTGCAATCCTCTTAGATTCATAGCATCCACAGTTAACAACAAATAATTCCATGGTAAACTCCAGGTGTAGGATGGAGACGTAGTGTTAAGTAACAAAGTGTAAGTGGATGAGTGCATCGTCCAACCGTCTTTTAAATACTGTTAGTGTCGGTGCAGAGACGACCGATTCTGGGAGAGCATTCCACGGGTGACAGACACGGATGGAAAAGAAATATCTGCAGCACTCCAGACGACTGTATTGTTCTGCGAGTTTTAATGAGTGGCCCCTCAGGTTTGTATTGCTGCTGAGTTGCAGTAAAGGGCGGCACACATGATGTGGGTCTCGCAGAATCAAGTACGCCATAATCAGGTCGCCTCGTAGTCTGCGATAGCTTCCACTGAACAATCCCAGTCATCGCAGCCTCTACTGGTAGGAAAGATTGCGCATTCCAATTAAGAGCAAGTAGGACAGAAAAGTGCCCCATCGACAAGAAGGCCCAAGGAAGACTAAACAGGGCACTTATGACTACAGGTTTGATAGACGAGATGGTGTGTTCGTTTTGTCTTTCCGTTGTGACTCTTACCAGTAACTCTGTTGTTGTTTATCCTCTGACAAAAATGACGAGGTGGTCGGCGAGGGAGTATAACATTTCGAAACGAGGAGTGGATCGATTGGACCAATAGATTGGCCAATGTAGAAAGAAGTTTCACAGCAAAATACGGTGGTGGCTGCTATTCGTCTTTTTTGCTAATGCTGAAATGAACACTGCCTGGCTTGTGTATAGCATATCACCTGCACAAGAGTAGCATGAAAAGCTTTCCTTCAAACGATTTGTTTTGAAAGTCTACTCACAGGTGCATTTAGCGGAGATAAATGTCTCGGAAAATGTTTGTACACCCGGTAGCAAACGACAAAAAGGTGAAGATCGAATCAGGAACTATTGCTTTGGACGCCACCTGGAATCAATGCCAAAACAAAGATGTTGTTACCGTGTCAAGAAGGTTAAGCTACCTTGTCGAATGTGTAATGTACCAATACACAGAGCCTGCAATGCGGCATAGCAGTCATAGAAAGAAAGATAGGCATAAGCAGTACGCCGGTACGCGCAGTACCGACGCTTTGCTGCCGCGCAACCGCCACCAGTCGCACATGAGCTAAGGGTATTGTGAGGGTCGTCCGCTACCTACGCACGCTTGAACCCGCGTCTGCAGATTACAAGGCACGCTTGTGATCCTTAAGGCTACGTGCGGGCTACTTACACACTTATAATGAGTAACTGCCTGTTATAGTATCACTGAAAGAAATATTAAGCACTGCAAACTATTTTGTATTTGCTCGGAAAATGCGGCTGCAAGTATGCTTCTAAATTCCCATGTCACATTATCGTTTATTATTGGTGTCCCTTAAAAAAGGATAGTTAGAAAAAGCATTGTATTTCCTAAATTAATTCAGAATTGTAAGATCCAAACCTCACTTGAGTGTTTCTTCGAAATTTTCTAAATATGAAAATGAAGAAAATTAAAAAAACTCATTCCGAAGTATCTGGTGCATGAAACCATGCCATATGTTTAGGATGGAAAAAATCCCAACTACCTAATCAAAGATGACAACGGGCTTCAGCGAAGTTAAAGACAGGATCCCATGGACGGTGTATCAGTAAAGAGCTTAAGTTAACACCTAGGGAGAGAACTGCAGCAGTTAGGAAGTTAGGAATTTCACAACAGATTCAGGTTGTTGGGACGGATGGGGAGCGCATGCGGATGGAAGAAGCGCATTCGAGAGAAGACGAGAGCAAATGAACACTGCCAATATAGGGTTCGGTTCTGCGGAGCCACCGGGTCTTCCATATGCAGTGGGGACATGTGAATGGAGATATTTGCTGTGATGGTGTAAGTGCAGCCAGCGCACAAGAGTACAGGTTCTCCGCGCAGCTTAATTTCTTCTCGGTAGTGGTTTGAATAAACTGGAACACAGTGTATAACACTCGTCTGAGTGTTTGAGCAAGTGGAATGTGAGCGCAAGCACTACGGTGAGTGGGATAGGATCACAGAGAGATGAGGCATCGGTGTGGACGCTCGTGGGCTGGGACAGTGATAGTGATAGTACAATGAGATGGAACTAATTGCAACTAGATTCAATCAGACAAAGAACCAAAAAAAACTCGCTCAAGAACTCCATTCATTCAAGTGAATTACCGTCCAGCAAACGACGAGGTGGAGTGGGACCAGTAGTCGCAACGAGGCGAGATCTTAACGTGAGGCGACGGTTTGCGTACCTCGTTGACCCAGTGAGCTATACTGGGTGGTACCTCCCGGCCCCTTGAGTGCTACTCCTACCAAATTGGTCAATGGTTAGAGGTCAAACAAACTCAGTCTCCTGGTCCTCCAGGATGGAGGTTTGAAATAGCATGGCGTCCATTACTGCAAAACTAAATCATTGCCACCTCCCCGTTGC